AAAGCGAGCTAGTGGTTTGATAATAAATAGATAAAAGGCTATATGAATGGAAGAGATCCAAAGACACTGAAAGGTGTAAAGTTGTGCAGATTCCCCAAAAAATAGTGGAGGAAACAGCTCTTGTTTTTACCTGTTTTCCATTATTACTATCTTTGTAGTCATTGCTGAACTTCTATTTAGGGTAGCTGTTCAATCTAGTTTGTAATACCATTGTTCTGTAGGAAGTGAGGTTAGTTACAAGCATGAGTCAAAGAGGTAGTTGAAATAGGAGAGTAACATCAATACCATTGATTAGCTACATCTCACCAGACAATAAGGGGTCCCAAACAGACAAAATGTCCTGCCCTACAGCAATGAGTGGGTCATCGTCGCCTCCTTGTGGTATTTGTACTAGGTGATTATTCCTTTGCACTTGACTGCGTGTTTATTGTGAACTCCAAATATAATATGTTCAGTTGTACTCATTTATTTCTATTTACGTTTGTCAGCACATTAATTTCGATACTGTTAATTGCCATACTCTCCACCAGCAGGTTTGCCGGCCAAAAACGCTACCCACCCTCCACTTGTGGTGTTAGACTATATAACGTTTGTGTTATGTTTTAAGTTTGCTTTGAACTAAGCTCTGTGTTCAACAGCCTGTTGAAATACATTTCATCTTCCTGTCCCATGTTGCTAGCAAGTTGGACGGCTCGAGCTTCTGTATTGTTGGGAGTTTCAAGGATAGTAAATGAAGCTCGTTAAGGTCTAAGAACGAGATTGTTAATATTTTAAACTGGATGGCAGGGTCATAATTTCGGATAAATAGTGGTAGCTTGTTGTGCGATAAACCATACGCAATCTGTAGGGGCATGGGTAAAAGTTTTGCTAGAGGTAAGAAATGAAAGATTATGAATTCTTTACTAAAAATTAGTAAATCGTTTCTTAGTTGACGGCGCCATAAAGGTTCTAAAGAGGGGTGTTTGCATCTGCCTGTGAAATCGAGGGCCGAAACACATTCCAGTTGTGGACGTGTGAGGCATCTCTGGTTTCCATGTTTGAGTAGATTGTTTGATAGTATTCAAGAGAAAGTCATATACATATTCTGGAAAGGGTGAGCACAGCCTCTTTTGCAAAGAAATTCCCAATTATGAAACTCAGCAGTGTATAGATTTGGAGATAATAGAGGAGACATGTTCTGCGAATTTCAACCTTTTTTTGTAGTAGATACATAGAACGTGAGCTGAGTTGAGAGTCTGAGCTCTACAATTACTTGAGTAATGTGACAGTCCACAGGGATGTTTCTCAAAATTTATGATACCACACTTGTTGTGGTTAAATGGTGACTGCCGTTCTTCGTCTCAGACTGATTGACTATCAATGTCACTTTTAATCTGGGATATACTTCCATTTAAAGCTTTGTACTATTTTGACAGTGTCAGCACACAAGTGTGGTCTCTAAAATCTTGTGGGTTTACATATATCGATTTTATAAACGAGAAACAAGAGTGGATTTAATATGTTTTTCCGAACATTTTCACTAGTTGTTGATTTTGGTGATGAGAGAGAGTCATTATACTTTACCGTCCGTCCGGGTTCGGTTAGGAATAAGGAACACCATGAATATGGTGGACTATTAATTGCGAAGGACTACAGTTCGACGAGAAGCCTTTTGTGGGGGACCCTATCAAAGGCTTTTTCAAAGTTGAGGAGTAGAACTGATACAAAGAGCCCATTGTCTCGTTTTTGAGTTATGCCTGTAGTGGTATTGGTTTTTAAACACACGATCTTTGAAGCGGAGCGTGTGATTATCAGGAAAATTTACACTCAACATGTAACGCTAAAAGAAAGTTGAGAAAGGCGAACTCGCGAAGAATTGCTCTACATGACATGGCTCGGCCTTGCAGACGTGGTCATTATGTGTGACTTATCCCTTTTCTCATCGAATATGTTATTCTCTCTCCAGCCCAAATATGTTCTTCAGAAGCGCTGGACATCATATTGCTGATGTCATGACTGAACGAGTCAGTATAGAGAATGATGCGACTTTCATGTAGGATCTTATACATTAGGCAGTCGCATAATGAAAAATCTGTAATTTCGGTGTAAGGTCTTTTATTGTAGTAACAAAGATGAACGTACTAATTCTGAATTAGGCCATAATTCCACATATCATTCAAGTGAACTTGCAGGCATGTCGTGATTAGACTATGAGCAAGTAAACGTCGAACTAGTGCCGACTTAACCACTTCTTCATCATGTATTGGTAATTGATACCATACAGTGAGTTGGCGTAGTCGATGGTGTGACTTCCACGTAAGATCTTATAGATTAGGCAGTTATATCATGACGAATCTACAAATTTAGGATTAGGTCTATTATTAGAGCAGTACTAATATCATAGTAGATCATAGTTCTACAGACTAATTTTGGAAATGATATGTGTAGTTTGGCAGGTGGTGGAGTAACACTTGATAGAGTGAAATCGTAAATAGTTTGAGAAGTATAACACAAAACGCATCACTTCCACATTTTAACATGGTAGCTGTAAAACATCTGATCCCTTAGTGTCAGAGTGTTTCACTGTTCCAACTGTATTATTTTGTGCATAGAAGTCCACAATAGTGATTTCACAAGGTGTTGGGGTAAGCTCTGACTCATTCAGCGGGTTTTTACTCTTTGACGAGGCAAAAAGTAGCGCACTAAAAAGTTCTGTTTTAAGTTTTTAATCTTCCTATATTTGACTGTCCTTAATAAATATGTTGCCTCTTTGTGGTTCAGAACATCTAAGTTTATTTATAAGGATTTCGATAATTGTGGAGGAGTCGGTACTAAATTCGATAGCAGGTCGTTCTTGTAAGACTGACTAGTGTGTTTATATCAGTTTCTTTATAACATGATCCGGTGAGACGGATATAGATTCTTGAGTGAGTTTGTGGGCGATTATAATGCCACCTACAACCATTTTGTTGAATGCACACAAATTTTAAAATCTCTCATCATTCTTGTTCCTTTCTCCCAGTCCATGTTGTCCTATGATTTCTCATATCTGATGTTGTCCATTCTGACTTTGTTGTTCAGGTCTCCCATCAGGATGGTCACTTCTTTATCTGAGCACTTCTCTATGACTGATTGTAGCCTCTCGCAAAGCGATCTTTATTGTCTCTGTTATTATCATTGATGGGTCTATAGCACTGGATAACATTCATTGTGATTCTCTCATTACCTGTCTTGAATTCTGCTTTGATGATCCTGGATCCCTGAGATTCCCATCCTATAAGTGCTGTTCATGCTTCGTTGTGCAGAGTAAGAGCAACTTACCGAACATATTGAGCATTTTCATTTCCATGATCAGAGTACATTGGAATCTATGCTGAGTCTATACTCTTCTGTCCAGGTTGGGTTTAATGGGTTTCACTTATTGCGAGAACCACCAAATTGTGTCCTCTAATTTATTCAGCTACTTGGTTGGCTTTCCCAGTCTCCCACACTGTCCGAGAATTCCATTTATCTATATTGATTAATGCTCTGTTTGTTAGGAGGTTCATCGTTTTCATGGCTTCAAAGGAGTATCGGCTTTTATCGTGAGGCGTCATAATATTTCCTTAAACTCGGAGGGAAGAGTCTAAATGGTTTAAGTTGACTATTCTGGTTGGTGTTTTTTTAGTAGGGTTTTATCCTCCGAGATAGGGTTGCTGACCCCGTTCCAAGCCCTGTTCCTTTACTCGTGCTTAGGACCGGCAGTAGCGTCAGGAGTGTTACAGTCAGAGTTGTGTTGCATCACGCTTCATAAAAATTCCAAGTGGATTACCAAATATCTAACTTGATCTAGTCACCGTTATGAGTTGTAAAGCTTCGTACTGTGAGCGAAAATTTAGCAGTAGATAGGCACGCGACAGCGATAATCAAGATAGATATCTTTTTCTCATCAGACAGACTGAACACATTTATAATGATGAGTAGAAAGTGGTAGTATATCACTCAGCGAAAATGAATAGACTGCCGACAGGAAGCTGTTCAGAAGACGTCAAGCGAAAACAGTACAAATGAGCTTTTCTGGAAATACAGCATAGTGAAATTAACTGAAAAACATGTGACCCAGATGATGCATAATACCCCAAATTTGAAAAAACCCTCTTAACTAAACCTTTCTAACCCTTTCAAATTAAAACAATGCACTTAAATTCTCTGCTATATTAGGACAGTTTATAGATCTTGAGAATCCATTTACTTTTCCTTGACTTTGTTTGTTTATATGCAGTATTGGTAGGTCTGGACGATTGTAGGCGTCCAGTCGATTTGTTTTTTGTTGGTTGGGAAGTTTCGTCTGGCCTTACTGGACATATTCTCTAATGCGTAGTTCTTTAATTTCCAAAGAGGTTGACTCGTTACACACTCAAAATGTGGAGGTTTTCTGTCGTATCAAGCCGTTTTACTCCCAGGGGATTTCCTGTATTGAGGTTTGTGATGGAAAAACCATAAAGTCTGTTGGTCACCGCTCTGGAAATAGGAAAGAAGTATGCTCACAGTAATCTATTTTAATATGTTAACACAGACTTCGCACTCATTCACTTGCGTTCTTCCACCTGATGCAGGACAAGATGTTGTATTTCAAAAAGTTGCTTTCCCTCTGGTCACTGACTTTTTGCATGGAAAAAATGGTATAAGTTTGTTACTCAGCTAAGTTTTCCTACAGGCTTACTGTTCACTTATGGGGTTACTGGCAGTGGCAAAACCTACTCTATGGAGGGGTCTTCAAAGGACCCTGGCATTTTACCACGTTCACTTGATGTTATTTTTAATTCTATCGGACAGTTCCAGACAAAAAAATATGTACGTAGTACTCATTAATCACGAAATTCTAGGTGGTAAAACCCGATGGTTTCAACGGGTTTATTATTCAGTCAGAAGCAGATGCACTCATGGACCGTCATCGATCTGATTTCCAGCAGCGTTCGCGCTTGCCAAAGTAACTCTTAAGCTTCGACTAATTTAGTAGATCTGATGTTAAACCTGCGAGTATGGTTGAAAGAACTTGCGAATCGATATCGGTGAACATTCCATGGAAGTCTTTGTTTGCTGTCTTCGTATCCCTCATTGAAGTGTATAACAACAGTATATACGATCTACTTCAAGATGTTTCAGACTTACCAGGAAGGTAGTATAATTTATAACAAGTGTTTTTATATTCAGGAATTTAACAACTCGGATATTGCGGGAAGATTCCCAAAGAAATGTGTATGTTTATGGAGGGGTTGAAGTAGAAGTTAAGTCGGCCGACGAGGCTCTTGATGTATTATGTGCAGGTAATTAAATGCTTGTTGTTTTTGTTGCCCTAGTTTCTCAAAGCTTAAAATGTTAATGTTAACTACTAAGTAACTGGGAAAACAGGTCACGCAACCGTTTCGCGTTGCTTCCTAATAAGATCGTCCTGTGCAACTCTTAAAAACATGAATTATTGATTTCTTAAATTCTTTTCAGGTCAAAAACGCCGCCGAATAGGACAAACGGCATTGAATGTTGAGTCCAGTCGAAGCCATTGTGTTTTTACAATTCGACTGGTGAGGACGGGTTATGATACCAAGTATGACGAAGCTGTCCAAGTGAGTAAGGATTTTCACTAGGTTTTATACATTTGAGTAATATTAAATCCAAATCCTACTCAGTGATTGTCTAAAGTAGGCCACGTTCATCAATACATTTTGTGCTATGTCCTGGGTTAACGTTCATCTTGAATCACTTAGGATTTGTGTGTATTTTCCTTTGTGCTGTTTTTAAGTGAGGTTAGACGCAGGGTATTGGGGAACGCTACGTCAGGTGGTAAGGTTCTAAATGTTCACCGGATGAGATGGTTGGGCCACACGTTACGTATGTCCGAATACCGACTAGCACGACGCGGAATGCTGACTAGTGTTGGGGATGGTTGTAAGAAAGTTAAGGTCGGCCAAACCAAAACGTGGCATCAGTGCTTGATGTCACTAACTTCCAGTCTGAGCCATTTTGGTAGATGCAAAATATTTGGTTTGGGTCCGCGCGACTACCGTAACCAATAGTTGGAGACTCTTGGTGACATGGCTCAGAATCGATCACGATAGCGTAGGTGTACACACTATTTGTCTTTTCTTAAACTATGGGTTTAAACTTGCTTTATATTTTCCTTTCCACGAACTAATTCTCTCTTTCTGTACTATGTCCTTACATGCAATCTTTCTTTTATATATTATCACCACTGAATTAACTGTGAATTTGTTTATTTTGTGCTAATGAGGTGTGGCAACTTGGACCGATGAATATGTGTTCCTGGTCCTATTTTGTAGTCGACTTACTGATATGATTGTCATACACTAATTTCTGTTTGTTGTTCTTTTATTATACGTACTTATATTCTCTATCTCTTCACAACGTCATTATTATTGTTTGGTGTATATGTATTAGGTGCACTTTTGTACAAATGTTTTTGTTCAAATAAATAAACAAATCTACGTTAATCTTGCGAGTATACCGAATTGTGTTATTTGTCTGCCTTACTCCGTAACCTGATCTTAAGGCAGTAATTGTTTTTACGAAATTTACGTTTTGAGTATGCAGACTGAACGGTTTCATTTTCAAATAGGATAATGTTAAATATTTGTGTTTATAGCAAGGAATCTTATCCGGAAAACCGTAGTGTCATGTGATTAACATGCCATACTTTCGACAGGGATCAGTTTATGATATATTGTTGAGTCCAGCTAGAATCCATCAGAGTGACTTGCTGATCCTTTATTGGATTCCTAGACACCGTGATTTAGTGGATTTAGATACTATAATGTAAGGTCAAATATGACCAGTGGAAAGTGCGTTATAGTTTTATTGCTGTTTTCAATACTAATACATGCATTATTTTAATTGACAGGATAAGGAGTCCGTCGTCATCAGTCATTTATGCCTTGTGGACCTCGCTGGTTCCGAACGTACAAGCCGTAGTGGGACGCAGGGGAATCGCTTGAAGGAAGCATGTAGGCATTTGTTTTTTTTTGTTAGTTCGTTGGATAAAGTGAGGCTCCCTGGCTTAGTGTTAATGAATTTTCGGTAGGGATATAAAGTGTTTGTTTTGTTTCTTCCAAATTACATTACAGAAAAACACCAACTATCCATTGTAAAGTAGGTTTATTATTTATTACTTCAGAAACTTGACTTTCAGCGAGGTCACTATTTGGAACGCTAATCCATCTATTGATGCTTGTAAAACCTAGTAGTAATAATGACTTAGTAAATACGCCTCATTGCTTGGTCCATGAGTTTATTCAGCATTACTGAATTTCAGTAATTATTGCACCATTTCCTGACTGCTTTTTTAATATTCAAGTGAGATTTATCTGTTGACATATGTAGAAAGTTAGCTCGCTCTAATGATGGAATCACCAAGTCAACCATTTTGAGGTAAAGTGATTAACAAAGAGGTTAACAAACAAACTAGACATTAACTGAAGTTATATCAAGTTGAAGTAAGTTAGAAGTGGACGAACGAAGATATTACACCAGTTCAGAAGTTCACTAGCTGTTGATGTAATTCGTGTAAAGAAATTCAAATATCACGGCTAAAACGCATATGTTTCTATCAATCCTTCGTTGAACACCTTGAGTTTAGATAACCTCATTCCAATTTCCATCAAAATTCTTTATGTTATATTTTAATGTTTCAGCCAACATTAACAATTCTCTCATGAATCTTCGGAAGTGCATCAAAGCCTTGCGTGATATTCAAACTTATGGAAGTAAAAGTCGGGGAACCACAACTACTCCTGTTGGACACACACGTGTTGTTCCCTACCGTGATGCTCGGTTAACATATCTTTTTAAGAACTTCTTTGAGGGCGATGGTCGCGTTGCAATGCTTGTTTGTATTCAGCAAGCACCAGAAGAATACGAGGAAACCATGGTACGTGTTTAGTTGTTATGTTACTTTTCTTGTACCTCATTTATAAAAAGTGTAATATTTCCAACCTGTTTACGCATGCGTTGTTTAAATACTAAGATTCATTAGCACATAAAACTGGTAATTTCACGTTAAGTTTTTTTGAGGTGCTTGGTAGTCCTGAACTAAGTGTAACCACTTTCTGGTCTCATCAGCTTGATCAACGACTTTTTACCATTAGCGTGAGATATTTTTAAAGTCTGGACATAAGTAACAACCAAAATCCACTTAATTCAAGCAAGATTTTTCAATAGTGTATTTAAACCATTTAGTTAAGTTATCTAATCTTGTACTTCGTAACCGTTTATCACGAAACATTTTTGTGTTTGGTGGGTGCCTAGTGACTAAAGATAAGACTAGATATTTCTGAGATTTAGGATGGGATTATCAACGGCATTCGTTAGGTACCGTTACTAACTTCGAGCTTCAATCAAGCTAATCTCAAGCGTTTGTCATGTGATGATTGGATAGGTGATACTTCTTCCTCCTATACAATCTAAAATCTATCGGTTAGGCGATCTATTGTATCCACTAGTTTGAGGGGTTATGATGCTCCGATAAGTACCACATCTCATCGAGATGTATGATACTTTAGTTTATTATTTTGCGCATATATATTTTTCTACCCATTAGTACCACTATTTATATGTTCAAATCAGTAAATAAAAGTTAAGTTTAATAAACTTATACGTAGCGTTTACTTTAGGATTAGAAGCTAGAATAAAACGTTGACGTATGTTAGCTGACGTATTTTGTGATATCTAAATAGTTTTTCATGAAAATTCGTATTCATACAAGCTATGGACGGTATTTAGTGCTTTCGTTGTGTTATTGTTCTTACTACTTTCTGGTTCTAGGATGACCTCGTAAAAATAACTTTAGAAGTGTGGAAACTTGAAATACTGTACTTTTTGTGTCTGGGTTTGCATTGGTTTAATCGATCTTTATAAATTATTTGAGTGATTTCTTTCAGAACAATTCATTCATGAATGGAAGTTAGTTTTAAGTTTAAGTACCTGCATTTGAGTGTTCCTGAGTCCATCACAGAAAGTAACCGTGAATAAGCGACTGTTCTTTAATGTAAATAATTTTTATTATTCAATTAATTTTAGCACGTCCTTAAATTTGCTGAGACAAGTCAGGAATTAACAACTTACCGCAATATTGTCCAACCAACCCCTTTCCGTGCACCCTACAACCAGATCCGTCCACGACTACAAACTCCCTTGCGTGTTTCTGACGATTCTTCAAGTACAACAGAAAATTCTGTCATAACTGTTGTGAGTTTCAGAATTATATATATATATATATATATATATATATATATATATATATATATATATATATATATATATATATATATAAATATAAACCAAACTTATTTCGTTTTTGCAATTTTAGAATATTGATGATCAAGCTACTCAAATTTTTGCTGATCTGGATTTCTTGGATCGTGAAGTCACTTCTTGTTTAAACAAAATGTCTAACGGCGATAGTTTCATCGGTTTAAATCTGGATTTCGATATAACAGACTTTAATGACTCTGACATACGCGCCGGTCTTGGTTTACAGGACCAAAATTCAGATTTGTCTCCCTATGAAAGTGAACAAGACTCAGCACCTGAACAAGACAGGTTACCAAGGCCATTCCTCGATTTAAAAATAATTGACACAAATCCTTTACGAGCTTTAATCAATCGTCGATTAGAACGTAAGAAGCAGGCTTATGATTCTTTGCAAACATTATTTCCTAGTCTCCAGGCTCTATTCATTGAATTATTGAATAATGAAAAGAATATCAATCCAGAAGTTGTCACAGCAAATCAACCGAAACCCGGAAGGGTAAGTTGCTAACTACTGATTTGCTTTTTGACTGTTCGTCTGTTAGGTCACTGTAAATGTTGACTTACAGGGATTTGCATTATGCGATATCAAATAGATAATTTTAAGAGAAATTCTTACCTCTCCAGCCTTTAGTAAGGTTGAGATATCATCTGTTTGATTGGACAGCTTGTGGAGACAAATTCAACCTGATGATACTTCTAATTGTGGGTTGACATCAATTTGAGAACCATTAAAAACCAGGAAGATATGAACAGCTGTTTCGACATTTGTGATCACTTAACAGTGTACAGCCACTACTACATTAAGGTATACAAATTGGATAGGTGTATTTGATGTCTATATTCTATAACAAGTTGTAGGCGTGACCTTCGATGAACCTAACGCTCTCTGGATCAATTTTAGTTTCTGGAATTCCAATGGTTAGTGAGGGGAAATGAAGTAGAGATGTTAAGTGTCCAGATTCTAACCACTTGGTGATTCATTGCTTCAACCCAGTACAAACTAATTGATACGCACAAGCATCGGAACCGTGACTTAGTTATCGGGATATAACAATCTATTCATGATTTCAGGTAAGCAAGCATATCGAAGCGAAAATTCGCACAAAAAAGTTTAAGTCGCTACACTACAATACTGTACAAAAAACCGAAGCTCAACCAAATTACCAAGATACTAAAACAAACAAGGGAAAATAAATAAGAAATTAATACTTTATGATTTTAAAGCTGGTAAAAAATGTTTTTGTGTCTCTAGTCCGCGTGCACATCAGAGAGGCTGGTGAATTTTCATATGCAATATGTCAATAATTCAAGTTGAGGTTTTCCCATGTGTTCGTTATAATGACACCTCCGTAATCATTATCAAGTGGATCTACTAAGTTTTGAACCGATAACGCTTTTAATTAGAATACTTCTGGTGCTTGAAATCATAAGAGCTGATTTTGAAGATGAGCTGTCATTTTTTATTTTCATCATGCTAAATTCGAATAATAATAATTATTATTTATTATTATTTGAACACATGAATATTGGTACAATAGAGCGCCAATATATATGCGCCACATAAAACAATGAGAATTCGAGGAGAAATAGAAAAAAAAGCTAAGGAGCGCAAAAAAAAAGAGAACAATAACGAAGAGATTGGTGTAAGGTAGTATGGTAGAAATGAGGGAACGGAAAGGTATAATCAGAAGAAATCTTTCAGGTAAGGGAGACACAACCACTTTTTATGAAGAAAGTAAATGAAGGTTACAGCAGGATCGCCACTGGCTTCTATTCTGAGCCATATCTGCCAACGTCTCTAGCCACTGTGTAGCACCATCTCTCAGACCCCAACCAGGGAGTCGTGAAGGACCAACAGAAGCCAGTCCTTTGCAGCTTCCTTTCATACCACGACACCATGTCATGCACTGACCACCTCTCCGCTTCTTCCAACCAGTCCCAGAGTCGGCAAATAATGCACGACGTGGAATTCTCTGGGACGACATTCGTAGAACATGTTCAAGCCACCGAAGTCGGTGTTTCAAGATGGTGACACCAATTGAATTATCATCTCTGTGCCCGAACACACAATGCCGAACCTCTGCATTACTGACATGGTGTTGCCACTGAATGTCAGCAATCCTTCGGAGACAGCGATGATCGAACACAGAGAGTCGTCTAACGTCCTCAACTCGGATAGGCCAGGTTTCATAAGCATACAGAAAAACTGCTCTCACCGACGCGTTGTAGATCCGACCTTTTACGGCCAGACTAACATCACGAAGGCGCCATAGATGGCCCAGATTGGCATAAGCCGCTGTGGCTTTCACTACACGTGCATTGATCTCATCACTCACACCCCCACCAGCACTTATGCAGCTACCCAGATACACGAACTTCTCGACTACGTCTATCAGGATTGGAGTCCTGCCAGTCTTGTAGAAGTACTTTGCACTTCGGAGGTGCGAAGCACATACCATACCTACAGACACTGATTACCAACTGATTAAGTGCGGATTGCATGGCTTGAGCATTATCGCACAGTAAGACAATATCATCCGCATACTTGAGGTCGAGAAGTCTTTCTCCAGGCAACAGACCCACACCACCATTACTTACATCCATCAGAGCTGTTTCCAGAATGTCGTCGGTGGCAAAGTTGAAGAGGAATGGTGAGATTAGGCAACCCTGCCTAACCCCACTGCTCGAATGGAACAATGGAGAGAGGTGGTTGTATGCCCTCACTCTGCCTGAGGTGTTTGTATATAGGGCTTTAAGGATGTTAAGCAACTTCTCAGGCACACCCTTCTTCAATAGACAATCCCAGAGAACAGTCCTATCCAACGAATCGAAGGCAGCCCTGATGTCAAGAAACACCACGATTTCTGGTCTTTGATAAGTATGACGGTGTTCTGACATTTGGCGGAGGGTGAAGATATGATCAATACATCCTCGATCAGAGCGAAACCTAGCCTGCTCCTCGCGAGTCAATCTTTCTCGGGGTTTTGAACAACCTACGAAGAATGACGGAAGCCAATAGCTTGGACGCAATCGGAAGTAGACTTATCCCCCGATAGTTGTTACAGGAAAGACGTGAACCCTTTTTAAAGATAGGGACAACTATCGACTCATTCCATGACGTTGGTACACTCCCTAGCTCCCAAACCTTTGTAAACAACGTCGTCAGTTCCTTAGTCAGAAAGTCACTACCGTCTTTAAAATGCGACGGAGGTAAGTCATCTGGGCCAGGTGATTTGTAACGCTTCAAGAGTTGGCGTTCCTTGCGGACTTCCGCCTCATTTGGTGTAACAGTCGTCACCGGCCATGGAGGGCGGGACAGTCTAACCGATGTTGCCGGAGCAACAGGCCAGTTGAACTGCCCTTCGAAAAATTCTGCCCATCGTCCAGGACGTCGATGGATGTTAGTGATTGGCATTCCATCATCCTCGCAGATTGTTTCGCTCACACCAGACTTCTTGCTGCCAGTGGCTCGGATGAGTTGGAAGAGCTTCCGGTAATTACCAGATGCAGCAGCTGCTTCCAACTCATTAGCACGCTCCGACCACCATGCTTTTCGGTCCTTACGCAAGCTTTGCCCAATTTCCTTACGTAACATCCTTCGTTTATGGTCAAACTCACGGTCACCCGGAGTAGACCGACGGGCTTCAATGAGTTGTAAGGAACCTGCGGAAACCCAGTGCTTATAAGCTGGACGTTTCGCGAACCCACAACTGACTGTACCCGCCATTTTCATGGCGTCATGCAATTGCAACCAATGCTCATCTATACTTTTCGGTGAAGTGGTAGCTAGCCTAGAAGCTAGCTCGGTTCGATACTTACTTGCAACGGAAGTTGCAACCAGATTGCTAATATCAATCCGTTGATGGCGGGCACTTCGTTGTCCACTGGAAAGTAAGGCAAGATTGGCGCAGTCCAAGGCATGGTCAGAGTCCAGATAGGTACTCCAAAAGGAGCGGCAGTCTTGTACACAACCACGCCAGCGGTAGCTGATCGCGATGTGATCAATCTGAGTCCAGGCTTGAGATGCAGATTGAGGACGCCAGGTGGCACATCGGCGATATGAAGACTTTCCAAAGACATTGCCAGCCCTATCTGTTGTCAGACCTGCATAAGTGTGCGAACGTTGAAGGCAGCCAGTTTGAATGGCGCACGTGGTTTCAGAAAAACTGCTTCAGTACTCATATTCGGTGGTAACATACAATTTTCAACCGGACAGTGACTCGAGAACGTTTAGATACAGTCGAATTTCCACCAAAGACGAGCCGCTGTATAAGTATAAAAGAGGGTGAATAATGTGGAAAATAATAATAATGATAATAATAATAATAGTAATAATAATAATAATAGTATTAATAATGACAATAATTGTAATGATAATAATTTGAACCAATTGATTGTTTTTCGAAGCGAGAAATGTAATTTCTATAGACATAGAGAGTTCATCATTTGTATGCTAAATTCGAAGCTCCTGTATGATTCGGAATCTCGGTGTACAAACTGGAGCAAAACCAAATTGCGTCTAACTCTTGTTCTTGGAAAATTTTGTTATTTTCTACATCTACGACATGAGAACATATCCACAGCTAATGTATCTCCACTTTTCATTACTGAAAGTTATCAAATTCATATTCGTTTATTTCAGACGAGTTAGTAAATACGTGGCTCCCCATAAATAATATCAAGGACTTTAAGGATTGATATCTTATTTTCCGTTTAGTATTGACTGCAACTTAGATTACACGCCTCCCTACGAAGACTATTGCTTGTTTATCTCCTGGTAAATTCACGATAACTTTATTTTCATATCTGTATTTAGGAACCGTCATCTAATGGCTTGACACAAGTTGTGTTTTAATTTTGTGGATAGTAAAATACATTATTATCTTTGCTATTAAATCAAAACCTACATCTCAGTTTAATTTATAAAGTCTAGTCTCAATCGTCATGTTTGTTCATATTTCAAGTAGATGAATAACACTTTCTGATTATTATTATTTTAACACATAGATATTGGTACAAGTAGGCACCAAATACATATGCGCCACACAAATCTCATTTGATATGTGTGAAAGCTGTGATACTGCTTGGGTGCTCAAACTGAAGCAGTGGTTTCCTTAGGGGGCCACACCCGGAGCCTTCGACCTTAAGGCCTGATCCACAAGGCAGTGGAGCATCGTAAGGGGATGCAGTCCCGTGGTAGCCGGTGACCAACGATTGGTTCATACGCCATTTGTTCCTTCAGGATCCTGAAGCCAGCCCATGTGCACCATTGGTTTGGAGTCAGGGTTTTTCCAACTCTCCTAGGTGAACTCGGTTAAAGCGCCGGAAATTCGCTTTTCTTCCTCTCAATTTCGTAAACAACACCACCGCCACGAGAAGGCAATGGGTAGGACTTCTTCAGCAGAGGCTATATACGCGTGGCCACGTGAGAGCATTTCGAGAGGGAGATCGGACTCTCCCCACTCTTGGCCGTACCAGGGCATTTGGGGGCACACACTTTCTGAAGTTATATTATTAACCGTATAAATGAATTGAGGGTTCATCAGCTTCTTGTTATTGGTTATCTCCGTAGTCACTATTCTTGGCTATTCTTCATTATATTTTAGTGTTCTACTATCGAAATGTGTTGTGGTATTTTGAAATTATTTAATTTGTTTCAAAACATGTTTGTAGAGTAACAGAATTTCTTTCATTCGCCTTACATTATCCATTAGACTTGTGTAAAAAATATTTCTGTTTAAATCTCATAGAATTTAGTCAGTACATTATCCAAACAGTGGGAATCAAGACTAGCTCAACAACAAGCTGAAGCGAAGATACTATCACGTCCTAACAATAATAATACCAAAAGAATTGACGACAGGGTCGCATTGACTCCTGGTAAACTAAATGAAAGACGTGCTGCTCCAGCGTTTAATCCTCGTCACCGTCGGTCTCGATCAGTCGGTGGGGATAATGCACGTTGGTTAGAGCATCAAGAAGCTAATAATACACCTTTAGGCACAATATTTACACCAAATTTGAAACATCGGAAATCTGTTACACGTGTTGAACTAAAAGATACTTTGAATGCGGATAACTATCTTTTACATCATCAAGAGGCAGATTCAGATGGTAACGTTGAAACAAGTCTTTTTAAAGTAAGTAGAGTGTATGAAGAGTATAGTGATGTATATCTTTTGAAAATAATTATTTAACTATTTCACATCAAAAGAACCCAACATTAATTTTTTTATAATATCTGTAGATAATTTCCATGTGATAAATCATCAATAACAAAAAGTATAAAGAAATCTGTTAACGACTATTATTCGATACACAATAAGTAGTTATGATTGGAGACTCTGGGTGACATGTCAATCAGTCAGTCAGTAACAATGTAGAACTTCGTACGTATGTACATCAGTTCGAGTTGCCACACCACATTTGCACAGAGATGTAGTGGTCGATTCAAATCCCGTAGTGCTAGATGTAGTAAAATTATAAGCTGTAATCAGAAAAGTTATGGTTTGAAGATGTTATTCGAGGAGTATAATCCAGTGAAATAAATTTGGAAAGAGAAAACAGAAAGGGACATGAAGAAGTCAGAAGATTAGAATTTGGGAGAACACAAAGAGTGGATGCATCTGCACCATTGCAAACGATTTTGAGCCATGTCATTCAGGGTCTCCAACCGTCGGTTGCTATCATCTCGCGGTCCCCAACCAGGTAGTCTACACCTACCAATATGATTCAGTTTACTTGTCAGTGACTTCATGGACTTGTGCCATGCTTTGGTCTGGCCGCCCCTAGCTTTCTTTCAATCTACTCCTATACAACAAAACATCGCACATCGAGGCAGTCGGTGGTTGGGCATACGTAACACGTGTCCCAGCCATCTCAACTGATGAAGTTTCACTACGTCATCAGTTGATTTGCCATCCTTACCTAGTACCCGTTTCCTATCAACTGTGTTACTTACTCGATGGTCCCAGGATATACGAGCAATATTTCGAAGACAGCTATGATCAAATACTAGTAACCTACGGATATCCTCTACTATTACCGGCCGTTTCACTGCCATAAAGTAGGACGGAACGAACTGTTGCGCAGTAAACCCATCCTTTGGTTGATAGACGGATATCTCGCCTACGCCATAAATGACGCAAGTTGGTAAAAGCTAGTCGAGCCTTCTGTATCCGTGTTGAGATTTCGTCACACACCAGACCACAAGGGCTGATGAGACTTCCAAGATAAGTGAAGCGGTCGACACACTCAACTACTTCACTCCCTATCACTAATTCGGGTGTCGACGTAACCCAATCCTGAAGCAACATTTTGCATTTCGAGGGGGAGAATCGCATGCCGAACATGCTTGCATTGTTGCTTAGAGTGGTCAGAAGACTCTGCATTTTGTCAGCGTCTTCACCAAATAGAACTATGTCATCTGCATATTCTAAGTCAACAAGTGAACCTCCCGGTAGAAGTTCAACCCCTGGAAATCTAGACGAGGAAAGTGTTATCTCTAAAAGTACGTCGACGACAGAGTTAAACAAGAATAGAGTGAGTGAACAGCCCTGACGAACACCACTTGAGGTAATCAATTCTGATGACAGTTCGCCATAAGCTCTCACTCGACCAGTTGTGTTCGAGTAGAGAGCCTTTATAAGGTTAATGTACTTCTTTGGTACTCCTTTCAGTGACAAACACTGCCATATAACCTTACGATTAACAGAGTCGAATGCCACCTTAAGGTCGAGAAATACTACCATTGTGGGGCGTCTGAATGTGTGTCTCTGTTCTAGAACCTGACGTAGTGTGAATATCTGATCTATACAACCACGTCAAGGTCGATAACCAGCCTGATTTTCTCTAATCTGTTCTTCACGAGCTTTGGTTAGGCGTCGAAGTATTATTGAAGCTAATATTTTAGACACTATATTTGTCAAACTGATTCCTCTGTGTGGCTGAAGGCCAGTTGAACTGATCCCTAAAGTGTTCTGCCCGTCGATCCAATCTCCTGGATTGAGAATGTATAACATGTCCATCTTTCTCTGAGATTGTTTCGCTAAAAGTTGGGTTCCTAATTCCGGTTTCCTTAACAAGTCCGAACAGTTGTCTGCTGTTACCCATTGCCGCTGCCTTTTCCATCTCTCTTGCTTTCGCTACCCACCACTGTTCACGATCATTGCGTAGACTTCTTGTCAGCTTGCGCTTAAGCTGACTCTGCTCTTTATTATGTTCAGAGACAGGTTGAATGAGTTTCCAAGCATCTATCAGTGCGATAGATGCTGCTGAGATCCAGTGTTTCTCCCTAACCTTCTGGTTTACCTTATTAGCAGATATCACTGCTGTTTCCACAGCTTTTCGGATATCGTTCCATGCTGCCTCGGGTAGGGCATCACATACATGGCTGCCTAACTGTTTTCCTAGTTCCTGAAATATACTCTTAGCTTGACTATCATTAAGTAGACCCCTAAGAGGTTTCCTTGCAGCGTCTTTCCTACGTCCAGTAAGACGCAGACAGATATGCGCTCGCACTAGAGCATGATCTGAATCTAAGCATGTGTTCCAGAATGAGCGACAGTCTTCTATGGAGCCCCTCGATCGGTGGTTGATAGCGATGTGATCTATTTGGGTCCAACGTTGGGACGAATTAGGGGGTCGCCATGTTAAAAGATGTTTTTCCTTATGCTTAAAGTTAGTATTTGCAAGAAAGAGGCGGTTATCTGCGCATAGCTGCAACAAACGGTCGCCATTATCTGTTTTTTGAGCCACAACACTATAAGATCCACCCAGGTGTCTTTCCCTATCGCTTAGTTTACCTACTTGAGCATTAAAGTCACCGGCCATTATTACTACATCCGAGCGCTTAGCTTTTAGGAGGTCGGAGAGCTTTCTGTAAAACTCATCTTTTACATCATCTGCGCTGCAGTCAGTGGGGGAATAGGCAAAGACGACGAAGAGGCGACGACGAGTGTCCCTATCTTTCCGGATTCTTACTGTTCCGTTCAGTCGGACAGCGCACAAACGACTGTCTACTGGGATCCACTCTAAGAGAGCTAGTTCTGCCCTAGGGCTCAATGCTATGCCTACGCCGGCGAGGCCACGGGAAGCAGAATCAGGGCTTCCAGATACACGAAGTGTGAATCGAGTCGGTTCTTTATTTTGGCATGGTGAGGTCAAATGGATAACGCTACTCGGGTCCTGTGTGCGCGTGTCGGAGACGCAGCACACATCGATGGCACGGGATTCTAATGTCCTAGCTAAGGAAGCCTGCTGTCCTATTTGGCACAGTGTTCGGACGTTAAAAGCTCCTACGTGTAGTTTAGAGCGTGGTTTCAGGAGACCAGGAATAGCGTTCCGCGTATTCGAATGGTTTGCCCTAGCGGTGCTAGGTGATAAAGAGATGTGAGGAGGGTTAGTCATGAAGATAAGAGAGGTATTAGGAGGTGTAGGAAGGATTTGAATGTGACCAACTTGGTCTCGTGTGCTGTTACGAGTATGAGGGCTGATATCACTTCCCGGCTGCCCACACTGTGGAAGGTTATTTCTTGAGGAACCTGAAAAGGAAATTGGATTAGTGTTGATCTTAACGACCTTGGAGCGTGACCGCAAAGCCCAAGGGACAACTGCTTGATGAGGCCGGTCGCTCACGGCCTTTTCGTGGAAGGTTTTTAATGTGTTAGCTCCGTTCTTCAAAGGGCCTTACCGCCGGAGACGGAAATCCGTGAGGTAAGGTGAAGTGTGACATTTTTAGGGTCGACCTATTCTAACCCCACCCCTCCTTGTGAGAAGGCAGCATAGCTGTAGATGCTGGTTGTCAGAGGGAAACACTTTACTTCTGTCACACCCCTCTACAGTCAGCAGTACGACTTCGTCTTCAGACCTTGAGTTGCTGCTTTTGGTCTTACCGTTCTCCAATCGACCTGCCTGGCATGGTAGAACCTACAGGAACATATGTTCCAGCCAATATAGCTCGGTTGGGTCATCACGATAGGCAAGCCCGACCACCGCGTCAAGGTAGCAGCTTCGGTCGGGTCTGGGTAACATGGCTCAGAATCGACCACGATGACGTAGATGTATGCACTTTATCTTCCTTTAAACTATGAGATTAAAATCGCTTCATATCTTTCTTTCTACCATTTAATTCTTTCTTCCTGTACTATGTCCTTATATACAACCTTCCTTTTATATATTGCCAACACTGAATTAACTGCTATGAATTGGTGTTCATCTTGCGCTAATTAGTTGTGGCAACTTGAACCGATGCACATATGTGCTGGTCCTACGTTGTAGCTGACTGACTGAATTAGTTATCATTACTCAGTGGTATTGTAAATAACGGAGGGATTTTTTTGGACATATCTATTTTGATTTCTATAAGAATTGTCTAAATAATCTTAGCTATGCCGAGTTTTTGACAGTTTGGTCGTTACGTGTTTTTATGGGAAAGAGTAGTATGAAAACAAGCTGCGGTATAGGCTAGAATTAAAATACACAACCAACTAATTTCTATTTGCTTTGCGGAATGTGTAAGGTGTACGACTTTAAATGTACAAGACAACAACCATTACTTGATGCTTCTAACTGGCAGTTCATGGTAGGTTGCAGTTGTTTTCTTTTAAGCGTTTTCGCTTTCCGTCAGTTCTCAAGTTGTCGTTCGTTATTCCATCCACATGAAGGATTTTATATCCCATTAATTTTGACAATTTCAAATGCTTATTCCTTAGTGGTAGTGCAAAACATTGGTTCCATTTTCTTTATTTATAGGGTGCCATTATTCCTACTGCTGGTGGTGGTTCGGCTGTTGTTTTTAATGATGTAGAAGTTTTACGTCAATCTTCTCCAGGCCGCGAACAAAGGTAGATTGTTGTTACATTATCGTTTTATTAAGATTCTTGCTAAGAATAGGATTTTCCTGAAGTAATATTATGAATATCTATTTTTATCCAGGAAATGTGTTCACTTGTGAATCTGACTAAATAATTAGTATGAAATACGATGACTGTGTAAATAGAATAGTTTTCAGTAACCCGTTTATCCAAACATATAACCGTATAATCTTAAGTTTATAAGTCCAAGTTTTCAGTACAATCAGAGCATTCGGAAAAAGTCGTGTATTCTCGCTTACAAACTACCATACAGATTAATTCACTTTATATGGCATACATCCAACTTAGTATATGCCTTCACCCTCGCTGATCGGTTATAGTAATGTTTTTGTGTACTCGTATCAACCTCTAAACTGGATAGTATGATTTATAGTCTCTGCTCATTTTTACGTGGATTAGGCGGGTGCGTTTCTACATACGAACTGTCAAATACGTCCACCTCACACCTCCAAAATGCAGTCAGTAGTTGATTGTGTTGACTCGATTTCAGTAGTATATTCTAAGGGCAGTGGCTTTAAAGGGAATTAGAAGATATTTATGCGTTAATTTAGACTACCTCCTTAGATTAAAAATGAAATAGTGTTTCGGTAAACTTAGCAGAGTAGAGGCTTAATTAATGGGAAGTTATGTTTGAAAAATGTTGGTGACCTTTAGTTTAGATTCTACGCTAATCCAGGTTCCCCACTACTGTAAACATCCCGTTAAGATTTAAAATGTGTAAGTTTTTTACTTCTATTTATAGGAAAAGTAGTCGCCCCAGAGGCGCTGATGCTCATTTGAAACAAGTTATAAGCGAAACTTCTCGTCGATCAGGGATAAAACGTCGCTATTCTAATTCACCGACAAGAAGACCTTCTAATGAATCTGTATCAACACATAGTTCTCAAAGCACAATGGCATCTGACTATTGTCCTATGAGTCCATCTATAGAAAAAATCTCAACAGCTTATAATGATGCTAAATGTTATATCGGCATCGACTGTAATGGAGGAATGGGCTTACGAAAGTATGTTTTTTAATTTTAGATCTATATTGTTTTTCTCCAAACTATATTTCGTGCACTTTAAACTCAGAGGTCCATGATTCTATGGTTCTTAGAATAGTTCTCTGCCATAGTTTCAAAAGATAATAAATGTTCACGCGATACACATAGTTCGCATTTGATTGGATAAACTTCCTATTAGTTACTCTATTATACTGTTTTATGTGCTATTCATATCGCTATAATCATGGACATGTATTTCAAACTCGATTGTGCAGTCGTTACTTATTTCTGCGTCCCACTGATTGTAAACCGTGACGCATAATGAAAGCCGCGCCCATAGATGTCACTGGACTCAGAAAATTAGCTTTAACCAGATAGTCGTTAATAAAGCTGACAGTAAAAAGGGAGTTAAATTTCATCTGTGTACTGATGGGATGTGGCAACTTGAAGCGATGTACATACGTACCAGGTTTTGCGTTGTGACTGACATTTAATTCAGCTGATTGGAGTCATGAAGGAGACACTTTTAAGAACAGTTTAGCCAAACCTTAGATACATCCTAGTTATTCACAATCCCTCGACAGCCTGAACGGGCAATCAGCATTAACATCCGACTCTTAGTGGCGTTTGAGTGCTACACTAATTGCCTTTGTTGAGCGTTCTTATTTCATAAGCAACTCAAACTCCCTAGTTATAATAACTGGAGTCATCTGAACAAATGAAATTTTTAAAAGATTGGATTCTGTCGTTATCTTACACCTAATTAAAGCTCAGAAACACCAAGCCTGAAAAAATCAGACCTTACTCTGAGTGTAGCTATCAAGTCTGTGGAAAAATCGGCATATGGATGCAGAATTTTAGTCGTATTTCTTGACCTGAAGAATGAATTTACCTCATCAAATTCTAGATGATGCATCAAAAATTGTCTGTATTAATACATTATCTGAAGATAGAGTGCAGTAATCCGTCGTATCACATGAAAAAACAAACTCTGGTGAGTTATTAATTGACAAAACTGGCACAAGTTAAAGATGCGTGGAAAGAAAAATGACTTGTGAAAATTCAAGCATACGCGATCCAGCAGTTAATGTTGGCTGGTTGTAACAAAACCTCAAGAAACGTGTCTAACCTCTATTCGTTCGAAGAAACAACATGGCAGTAGAATATTAATTATTCCTAATAAAAGGCCTTACACATGTTACGTTAATTTCAGCTAAGAAAAGTAGTATATAAATGCTCCCCAAACTGTTAATGATGTAGTCTATTGTAGTTTTCCGACTGTCAGCAAAAACTACCAAGTTAAATTACTATCTTTTGTAATATGATGTGAAAAATTTACTTTTGTGTTTCTTATTTTTACTTATTGTCTACCAGTTATTTCAAGGAACATTGTTTATTTATTTTTCCTTTTTTAGAAGGTCCAGATTGTAAAAAAGAACGTCGGAAGTAAAACTGATTACTTTTTTGCTTGTCTATTTAATATTATATAGAAAAACTACTAACTTATCCAAATTCACGTGCATATTTTTTGTTTTTAACCGTTAAAACTATTTATATTTTATTAGTCTTTTGTCATTGCTTATTTTTGACGTACTGTAACACTTACATCAGATTCCCTTATAAAATCAAATACACTTATTTTATAACTTTTCTCGAACCTTTTTTGTTTTTTAGTGGCAGATATTTGAACTTTGTTATGCTACCATGACAATTTATACGGATTACCACTTGCCTACTGGAACACTAGTGGCATTTAGATTACTTTTAGTGTCTCAGTAACACAAAGCATGTCCAACATCTGAAGTTGGTAAACATGTTACTTAGTGCGGCATGGAGTTAGAACATTATGAACGTCGATGTAAACTTATCAACGGAATTCATAAGGCAGATAGCTTGCGTCATTAAATCCAGTAATATAGTAAAAAGCGGCATTGGTAATACTGTTGATAAGAGTGGAATGGTCAGAAATTAATAGTAGAAAAAAATGTCCCAAAGTACAGGTGGGAAGCTCAAGTTTTTCTATTGTTAATCATGAAGGTGCAAAGACAGCTCACGGAGAAACCTGTAAATATGACGACTACGCGGAATTCTGAAGTCACTCGTCAGTAACTGAGTCCAGGCAACATCTGTTCGTACTTACTGTTCGGAAAACCTCCAAAAGTATCTCGAATTCGATATTCCTCAAAGTAAAGATAACTTCGAATGTAATCGTAAAGATGTTCTTGGAAAATGATCAGCCTATTAAGAATGTTAAATTGGAGTGGCTCAGAAACCATTTCAAACTGATACTTATCAGTTGAATTAAAAAGTCAAGTTCTACCCCGTACACATGATGCATCTGCACTATGTAGAAGCTGTTCTGTCTTAAAACCCAGATTAAGTCTACATTTTAAGACTCAACCTTAGCACTACTTATTTTGTAAATCCGATTAATATTAACGGTGGGTTGCACATGATAAAAACATAACACATTTTAGTGTTCTCAATATACAGAAAGATAACACTGATTTAAACAAAGCTTATAGTACATGAATTTATTAACTACAGCAAAGGAATATATAAAACATGAAAGGCTTTTTCAAATAAATCTTTACAGTTGACTGAACAAAACAGAGTAGGAGATTATTCACAGAAGAGCAGTAAACACACTAGTAGATCGATGGCGTTTCAAACTTGGAGGACTTAACAAAACAGAATTAGGTTTAATCACATCAATTGGTCGTTTTTGCTGAAAAAATAAATATTGGGGTTTACTGTTACCATTCAGAGAAAAACAAAATCTATGAAATTTAATTAGTTATTATTTGATGGGATACGTGGTTTTGGAGTTCCAGGTGAAGTGTATCTTTACGATGCAGACTATCCAATATGAGTTATTGCAATACCAAGACATCGTAAGGTATTTTCTTAAATTCATATTAAGTAACTATGTTATGAAGAAAGACTAATCGAACTATTTAGCATATTTCGTAACTCAGCAGGTTTGTGCTTTTAGATAATGATATAACTTTACTGACGCTGCTATTTGAGTTGAAAGTTTAACAGTGAGCAGGTCATTGCTTATATTTGTGTCTGGAAATTTATTGCTGAATCTATAAAAACTCGTTACTTGAATTTGATTAGGCATTGATTTGTCTCTAAAGGAACTAGCGTTAAGGTACTTGCATACGTAGTGGGCTGGTTTATTTCAGATTGAAAAATTTGAAAAGGATAGCTAGGATCGAAAAATTTGAAAATGATAGCTAGGATCGAATAATGTAATCAAGTGAAGATGTCTAGTAGCCGAAAATATAATCACTGCGCTAGAGATATACCATAAAATTTCCCGAGAACCATATTGTAAATCAGTAGCACTAACAGAAAGATAATTATAAGCAGCTATAAAACTGATCTAATACTAATCTGATACCCGAACCGTACTGCATGGAAAGAAACAGATATTTGAGACGACAAAATCTGTTTTCAAGTCGCCGAATAGCTACACAAAATTACTTCTGTGGCTAAGGTACAAAATATTGATGAGTGTAAACACATAATGTGCTTTCATAGTTAACACACTGAGCAAAGCATGATGAAAATGTTTCGACAGTGTATTTTAGCGGAACATGTATGAAATAAGTTAGCTTTATCAAAGCTTCAGTTGTGAGACATTTCCAGAAGTATACGTCTCATAAGTCTTATACAGGAAGGAAAAGCTAGTCTAATTAAATTAGAAGTTCTGAAGTGAATGTTGACTAGCTTGAGTAAAACCTGAAATAAATTGCTGTAAGCGATTATTACCTAAATGCATCTTTTCATGAAATATAACTAACCTTAATGGCGAAATTACGGGATCTTAGAGAATTCTGGTTAGATGCACCGTTATCATCAAATGGGTCGATTTTTTCTGGTTTAATTTGAGCCGTCATAACACTAAAGCACGATAGACCGACCTTGCTCCGTAAATCTAGATGTGTTTGGTCGCGACGACTTCCACTTTTTGACGTACCGACATCGAAACCATCGTTAACATTTGAATGAATCTGGGTAGTTTCAGATTTACAACCAGGAACAAGGCCCCCAGCAAAACGACTCAATAGAGAACCACGCTATAAAATACGAATGAGATTTCATTTGGAAAATAGTACTAAGCAAGCATATATAAGTAGTTACAAGAATCAAGACAGTGATATAATGTGGCTGAGTGTTGGCTACTCACGTGAACGTACAATTGATTTAGGACTGCGAATATGTAGAAATCAAAGACAAAACCACTAGTCAGAGTGGTAGTTTTCCATGTAATGCTTATATACAGAATATGAACACAAAGTAAATATGATAAAATGTCATAGGCGATTGGAGGAAATCAGCTTGTAGGTCACTTATTCTCCAATCAATTGAGACCTAACTGTCAAGCCAAACCTTTGGGTTTAGTATCGACCTCAAAGCCATGTTGAGGCGCAAATGTGACCTGGTTAGTATGAAAAAGTGAATTATTTATCTAGCCAAAGACATAACACAAGTGTCTTCATCAATGTGAAGTCCTACAAATATGCTTGTTAATACTATTATCCGACTTTTAAGAATAAAGCTTACTAAACAGCTTTGGTTTTTTTAATAAATAGCTGGATAAATCGTTATTAACTGATCTGTATCAGTGAACGAACTAATAAGATACTAAGGGTTTCTGATACAATTTCTACATCAACTCTTGTGATGATGTTATTGTATCTTTATTATTTCGATTTATTAGGATATATCTTATTGATGACCCATTCTTTATCTGATTTATAATACAGTTAAGCGAAGTGTTAATTAGTCAAGACATACTAGACAAGGAAGAATATAACAAATAAAGAATATAATAAAATGATAAATATTAGTAAACTTACTCTGATCATTTGAAATCTTACATCACTACCAGTATTGTTAACATTAAATTTTACAGGAGCAATTGGTTTATCATTATTATTACTAGAAATGATAACATTGTCAACTTTACTATTATTATCTGCATCATTAGTAACACCTTCATTAATAGGTAGATTATGAGGTTTGGGTTGCAAGAAATAATTAGAGATCAATGGGCTTCTAAGCGTAGACGATGGTTTGATGGTCTTTCCTTCAGAGGAGCAGAAAAAATTGAAATATTAGTTTGAAATATTGGTTTTAATAACCAAAAGCTCTATTGCATAATAATAATGTATTAGATTGTGAATTAACTAACGTTTGCCGGTGACTGTCAATTACTTGCAATGGCTCAGATGCAACCACTATATTTTTTCCTTAAAGTTTTAGATTTACAATTATCTAATATTTTCTTTAATTTCATGAATTTTTGCTTACCTCTTGAAATATATTTTCCTATACCAAATCTTTCCTGCCATCGTTAAAACCATTACTAATTCTACTACTCTGGTGTCTCTCTTAGTAGTTATGTAGTGTAGTGACCCTAAACGATACACATGTACCAGGTTTTACATTGTGTATGACTGACTATCAATGAGAAATTCTACTACGAAAGATTAAAATAAATATGGGTACTTCGGCAATTAATTAAGCAGAGTTGGAGAAATAAACAGTAGCACATAAGCTGTAATACTATTGTGATGGATACATTGAGCTATGATGAATATAAATATTCTGAAGGATATACAGAAACCGAAATTCAATAGCCTTTTAGTAAAGCAGAATAACAGACTAGTAAAAAGTCCGATTAATTGAAATAGTTATTCGTGGAGGAGACATCAGTCAATCATAAACAGCTTAAAACTTCGGACATAGGTCCATTAGCTCAAGTTGCCACCTTTCTCACCAATATGCTGAGAGGGAACTAAAGAGATGAAGGGTAAAGGAGTGTGAATAATGGTAGTGTCAGTGATAACGAAAACAGAGAATACAGGTTGAAAAGAAATAGAATAATTATGAGCTATTCTGACTGATTTCGAATCTTGTCGCCAAATATATTAGAATAATTTAACATAATCAGTAGATTACAGCGCATATCTCAACCAGAAAGTTAGAAGCTCGAAAGACAGTCTTGTCCAACAGCAAAGATCTTCACTGATTGGTACTACTTTTATTTTGTCACTCCTAATATCTTCCATCCTACTCAAACACTAGACATTGTTACACGTAATAACAGGCGTGACAGTTACGTATTACAGATGTTTGATAGCTAATGTGACGACTTTATGAAACAAGCACACATGACACGATCTTGAGAAACATTTAGAATTGTTCTTGTAACTTGATTTGTTAGGTTTATACCGATTTCTAAATTTGTAATTGAAGCCTTACATATGCGTACTTATAAAACTGATTGAATATAGCCAACATCAGTGTACGATCAGACTGGAGCCAAACGAGATTACGAGGAAATTAGTAAGCGTGTAAAAAAATGGACATGTATTTATGGCGTGAATATCTGGACAATAAATAACACATTTGTGTGAGTAATTCGGAATACTGTAATAGTTGAGTGCTAAACATATACGCTTATATAAAAAGTCAAGATTATAAGCGAATAACTGACATGATCAATGTGTGTGCATAATGACTCAAGAAGATTAAATTAATTAGTCCGTCCAAAACCTAGAATAATTCATGAAAATGTGACATAGTACTAGACCGTACAGTGACCT